GACCTGGGAAAAATTTTTTAAAATTTTTTTTTTGGTTTTCAATGGGCTTTTATTTATTGATTAATATGTGGTGCCGAGAATCGAACCCAGTGCCTCACACATGCTAGGCAAGCACTCTGCCACTGAGCCACAACCCCAGCCGGGAAAAAATTTTTATATGTGCAAATATTGATGCCAATTTTCCACTCCCTGGGATCTTAATTTAATTGATCTCAGGTATAACCTAGGGTGATACCTGGGTGTAGTCAAGGTTGAGAACCACAGATGTAACTCCAAAGCCATCAGCCAAGTGTTCTCAAACAATATGCATCACCTCTAAAGCTTTAAAACACAAATAAATGCTGAATTCCAGTGCTATCAATTAGAATCTCTGGGGATAGAGTCTGGAAATCCACATGTTAACAAAGCTTTATAAGGGACTGTAACATAGCCTGGATTGAGAACCACTTTCTTGATCAGACACTGCACCACCTCCCTCTTAGGACTGTGTTACAAGAAATTACAACTTTCTTGCCCTGCTGTAGAGTCTGAACTCTTTGAAGACAGATTTATATTTTATTCACCATGGTCAGCACTCCAGCACCCACCAAGATCTCTTACACATGAAGCATTTTAGATACTAAAGAACCAAGAACATATCTTTTGTTAACCTTATTAAGAAAACAAAGAACATCTTTGCAGAGTACTATTGGCCCTCCTTATCCATGGGTCCCCCATCCAGGATTCAGATGGAAAATGTTCCAGGGGTGGGAGGGTTGGGGAACTGCATCTGTACTGAACATGTACATTTTTTCTTGTTATTTTTTCCTAAACAATACAACAGAACAACTATTTTCATGACATTTACATTGTAGTGTGTATTACAAGTAATGGAGAGATGGTTTAAAGTCTATGAGTGCACTCACATGCAAATACTGCACTATTTTATAAAAGGGAGTGGAGAATTGTGGGTCTTGGTATCCATAGGCAGTCCTGGAACCAGTCCTCACATATGCTTTTTAATCTCTGATATACTGACCTGAAAACTAAGCAAGTCATCTTAGCTCTCAGATCATCACAGCCACCTGGCTATTAAGTGCCAGGATTAGGATTCAAACCCAGATTCTCCTGATAATACTCTTTCTTCTACTTTCCAAGCCTTAAAAGCAACTACAGAATGAAAAATTCAGCTATGTGCATATTTGGATACATGCTGCCAGATATGTTTCTAAAATTTGATCATAACCTGTCACATGAGGAAAAGGGCTCTGTTGGCACTATGAAATCCATTTGGAAAAAAAACATGTTAGTTTAAACCTAAAAATTAATTGTGGGATCCAACAGATTTCCCTTTCTTTTCTTCGTTCCCGTCCTCCTTTACCCCCTAACACAATCAGACACTCTTCTTTGGTTGTTCTTTGACATTTCTTAACAACTGTCTAGTTACTGCATTGGAAATTTCTTGAGGTTTTTGTTTTGTTTTGTTTCTTCTTAGTTTGTGCTGTTTCTCGGACTTTTCAAATAACCTGAGCTTCTGGTAATAAATGAAATATTTTTGAAGATTCCTAGTACCAGTTACCTAAAGTAATAAATTGGCATCTGATATATATTTCTGTTTCATTCCATATGAATAAGCACATAAATGCATACAGGTGTAAAGTCATGATAAATTTTCAAATAAGACATGGAAACCTGAGTTCCAGTTCATTTGCCATTTCCAAGCTATGGGACTTTGGACAGGGAATGAACTTTCCAGAACCTCTTTCCTTGCCTACAAAATGAAAAATAAAGGGATCAGGATGAGCACGCCTATAATCCCAGCAGCTTGAGAGACCGAGGCAGGAGGTGGAGAGTTCAAAGCCAGCCTCAGCAACAGCGAGGCACTAAGCAACTCAGTGAGACCCTGTATCTAAATAAAATACAAAATAGGGCTGGGGATGTGGCTCAGTAGTCGAGTGCCCGTGACTTCAATCTGTGGTACCCCTTGCCCCCCGCCAAAAAAAGAGAGGGACAGACACTCTCAGATTTTCTTCCAAATAGGAAATGTTATAATCCTTTAAAATAATAAGGCATTTATTATTAGGTCTTCAGCCAACACTATATTAATATTTGTTCCTTTTTGCTTGATATCTTTAAAGGCAAACAGAGACATTGTTTATTTTTTTTATTGATTTTATTTTTTTTAAATACACGACAGTGGAATGCATTACAATTCTTATTACACATATAGAGCACAATTTTTTATATCTTTGTATATAAAGTATGTTCACACCAATTCATGCCTTTATATGTGTACTTTTTTTGCATTACAATTCTTATTACACATATATACCATAATTTTTCAAATCTCTGTTAGTATATAAAGTAGGTTGACACCCAATTCGAGTCTTCATACATGTACTTTGGATAATGATGTCCATCATCCTTGCTAATCCCCTGCCCCCTCCCTTTCCTTCCCACCCCTCTTCCCTATCTAGAATTCATCTATTCCTCCCATGCTCCCCCTTCCTACCCCACTATGAGTCAGCCTCCTTATATCAGAGATATAAGGGGGGATTGGCTAACTTCACTTAGCATTATCTTCTCCAATGCCATCCATTTACCTGCAAATGCCATGATTTTATTCTCTTCTAATGCTGAGTAATATTCCATTGTGTATATGTGCCACATGTTTTTTTTATCCAGTCATCCACTGAAGGGCATCTAGGTTGGCTCCACAGTTTAGCTATTGTGAATTGTGCTGCTGTAAACATTGATGTGGCTGTGGAGGCATTGCTTAAAAATCGTAGAATTCTTTACCATTTGTAGGGTTCACTGCCATTATCTCCTGTGATTTTCATTACATAACTACAGAATAGTCAATATTATCCCCATTTCACAGAAAAGGAAACTGAGACACAGAGGGGCTCCCAGGGGTAACAGAATCAGAAACTTACAAGTTTAGACCCCTAGTGGACCCCACTTTGACACCCCCTCCAATACCACAATAGCCACAGGCAAAATGGGAGCACAGAGGTTGGGCAAACCTGACCAGCCAACAGCTCCCCTACGTTTGCCTTCCCCAAATGTGTTCCAGCCCAGCCACCTTTAAATTGCTTTGGAATAGAATACCAAGTGGGGATTTATTTAGCATATCATTTCTGGGTATGTGTTTTCCTGAGCATTTATAGATCTGTGTGTTTCCAAGAAGCTGAGTTTTCCTGATAAAACAAGACAGATCATGATAAATGAGCAGCTATGTAAGCCTAGCTGGGAGGAGGACCAAGACGGCAACACCCCTCCTGTGAAGTTAATCCCGTTTCTTTTAGCTATTTCTTTATTAGTTAATGAGGTCTTGCAAAAATGTGTGTCTGTGATGGTGTTTTAGCATCCTTGCCTCTAGGAACGTTTTCAAATATTCATAAAGTAGCTCATCTGACCAAAGCGTAAAGCAAAGGTGCATTAAGTATGAATTCAGTCAACTTCAAATGTGGGTGGTCGAAAAGCTGCTGCTGAAATAACCTAAATAATCCTCCTCGTTGGTGTTTCCAGATCCGCAGCTCTGGGCGCAAATGTGAAGGGTGACAGGGAAGAGGTATTATTTAGAACAGCTAGGACTCTGAAGGGCAGCCCCATAAGCTTTGATCCTGCTTCCTGACTGACAGTAGTGTGGCTTGCTTTTGGAAAACAGAATAACTTAAGAGAAACAAAAATAAAACGCAAAAGGAATTGCCAGTGGAGCCTCTGGGAAGGAGAGCAGACTCTAGAGCATATTGTTCCTGGGAGGCGAGGCAAGAGAAACCTCCTTCCCATTTTGGTTCCTTATGGCATAGAGGGAAAAGTAGAAATTCGATAGATGGTTTGGTGCTCAGTGATGCATTTGGGGAGCAAAGCAAATGTGGAAACTCAGCTACTAAACTGAGCTCCATGGTACAGTGAACCATGGCAATTACCTCTATGACCTGGTTTTGGAGGACTTGCATAGTAGCAGGGTCCTCAGGACATAGCTAGAGTTTCTCTTTTTGTCTCTCTCTCTCTCTCTCTCTCTCTCTCTCTCTCTCTCTCTCTCTCTTGCGCACACACACACACACACACACACACAGCCTCCAAGACTACACACATGCACTCCACTCATTATCTCAAAGTATAGACACACAAATTCTTCCTATTTTTTACCCTTTTATGATTTTGTTTCCCCAAAAACATCATTTCAGGAAGTTGACACTATGGCTTTCCTTCTATATGCAGTTTACAAGAAAAGGTTTGGTGGTTCTGGGTGACCTGGGTTTTATTTGATATTCTTTGGCTAAAAAATCAAAAATGACAGCCCAATATTCTCCCTCTGGTTTCTGGAAAAGTACCTCAGAGCTGCCACCAAAATGGTGCAAGTTTTGCAGTATGACCGTCCCTAGCTCAAGGAATGAATCATAGACCAACACCCTTCTTCCCACCCCCGGGCATTGCAATATATTGCTGTGTTCCTGATAACTCAGTGCTGCAAAATATCCTTGGGAAAAAAAATTCATGTCATAACCCCTACATTTCTTATCTCTTGGAGACTTTGCCTTTTACAATATCAACTCCTGGATGAAGGTAAGTTCTGAACCACCCTTTTGAAAGGAGATGACCATGTAATACTTTCAGTACAAGTTTGGAGAGAGATGGACATCTTTCATTATTAAGAAGGGCTGATAATGCAAATGTTTACTTCTGCAGCTCAGTGTTCACTTTTTCATCATTTCATCTGGTTATGAGTTTCTTCTAAATGTAAAAACCACCAAACAAAAAAGGTCCAAAAAGAAAAAAAAAAAGCAACAACTCTGTAATAATACTGCCTTGAGAAATTTTCAGAGTATATTATTATTTCTCTTTTGTCTCTTGCCATGGGGACATTGAGGGCACACTGACAGTCATTATGATTATAAAAGATAGACGCTAATGTTGGTTGTTCCAGATGTAATTTTGCATTTTTCAGAAGAAATAACTATTACATCTAGGATGGAAATTTGACTGGTGTCCTGTACTTAATGTTTTTCTTCTAGGTGATTCACATAACAGGTCGGCTACGCCTGAGAGTGTCGCTTTCCCATGGGAGGACCGTCCCCAGCCAAATCATGGGTCTTGTGGTTGTGGCTCATGCCTTGCCTCCCCCAACGATCAATGAAGTCAGAATTGACTGCCATATGTTCGTCACTCGAGTAAATATGGACCTCAATATCATTTACTGTGAAAATAGGTACTTTGTTTTTGTTTTCATTTGTCCTGTTGCACATTGCTCATTGGTGAGGGTCTGTGTTTTCAGCAATCTGAAGGATTTTACTCTCCCAGTGAGGCTCATTATAAATCCTGATCTTAGTTTTAATGGCTCCTTGGACTGACACCAAACATGCTTTTTTTAAAAAATTTATATGGCTGCCCTGATTTACATTAGGGACAACAATTGAATGAATTAGGATACCCAGACATCCATCCACTATAGTGAATGGATGAGAACCCAAGGACAGAGCAGGGTTGGGGCATTGTTGGACTGGCAAAACGATGCAGTCAAAGGTATCTCCTGGTGCCTCCGAGAAGCCCACTTCAACTAGTACAAGGGCCCAGCATCATGATGGTGAGTGTTCACACAGAAATTAAGCCGAGAGGACAAAATAGAAGTTGAGGCCCCCAGAGGAAAAGCAATGCAAAAGGAATCTGCAACACTATTGAATAAAACTTTATCATCCTGAGGATTTCACTACATTAAGAAAAGATGAGTCATCACATGAATGAATTGGCAGTTCTTCCTTAAGACTGAGCTTTTATAAAAAGACTTTTCACCTCTGGTTAAAAAGTTCACTTTTTCCATTAAGCACAAAGCAAGGGACAGGAAACTGGGACAGTGCCCCTTCAGACCTTTCACCTAGAAGTCACCAGCCCGTCATCAGACTGATATGAAGAGAGAATCACAGGATGTGGGAAGAGCAGTGAAAAAGAGCCCACATCTCAGCCATGAGAAGGTAGCATGGTGATCCCGGGCAGGCATCCCCTAGTGCCACAGGGAGAATCACAGGGTCAGTTTGGTGAAGATGCTTTTGTTGCACAGATTGTTGTCAGGCTTGAAGGCAATATATATTCACTGAGCCCTCTAAGTGTCTTTGGAGGGGAAATGAAAGAGCAGAATGGTCAAGTGTCTTGAGTAATTGACCTCTCCAGAGGCTGACCCAGAGGAAGCTAGACAGCCCCTGCATTCAGTCCACAGGGAGGTGGCTACAGAAATCCAGATCAAGTTAGAAATTGCCTACCGTTTCCATACAGGGTCTGATTTAGGGGAAGGAATTCACCAATTAAAAAAGAAACCCACCTGAGCTGTGACTGTTCAATAGAGTGGAAGATAGCATGAACCTCTCACTATTATTTGATAAATAATTCTAAGTTTGCTTTTCAACTTTTATTAACATTTATTAGAATTTTTATCATCCATGACTATATACTTGGCTATGTCTAAGGTATTCTGGAATGATCACAGAATATTAGGGAAGACAAGTTAGCCACAGTGATTAGCTAGAGTTGGCAAGTAATAATAAATACAGCTGACATTTAATGAACATTTACTACATGTTCAGCCATGTGCAAATCTAATCATCTGCACCATCTCATTTAAGCTTCAGGACAGTTCCATGAGGTAGGTGCTGCCAATGTCTCTATCACTCTTGGGAAATTTCAGCTTAGAGAGAAAGGATTTCTTGCCCTCGGCCAAGATTCAAAACCAAGTCTGCCAGATTCAAAAGACCATGCACTTGGCTACATTCTGTGGGGTCCAAATGGCAAGGGAGAAGTCAGAATAACCTCTGAGAAGGACTTTTCATACATAGACTCCATGAAAGAACACAATTACTGCCCTCAAAGCTGCTTAATTTTACCAAAATTTAGAATACTGGAGGAGATGCAGCCAAGAGAGGCAGATATGAAGTCAGAGGATGAATATATGATAACTCATTTGGTTGAGATTCACCATCTCCAGACCTTCCAAAAAATGGAGCCTCAGCTTATTTCCCAAATTTCCAGCAATAGCCCTATCCCAAAACATCATTTAATTTTCATTCCTGTGATCAATTGATTGATTCTTCTGACAAGTTCCATAGACCTGAGTGCCTCATGGTATCACTCCAGTAACTGAGATCATTTTCTATGACCTGCTTTTAGCTTTTACTTTCCATTTAAAAAAAAAAAATGCTTTCCACATCCCCGTATTAGCCAATACAATACTGCATTATTTCCTAACTGAAGATGATAGTAATTATGAAAAAGGCCTGTATTTTTAAGGTAATTGCATATTTGATTGACAGAAAAGGCATACAGTGTGCTAGGCCCTATGCTGTGTTAATTTCATTCCTTTCCATAATCCCCTCCCCACCTTGTGGGGTTACTTGACAGATGAGGAAACTGAGGAGCAGAGTAAAAGATGCCTCGGGATTCTGGTCTGCTGCTTCCTGTGCATTTAAGAAGTCCTTGACCACTGAGCTGCTCACCTTCACCAGGGTGACAAGCTCTGTTGTTTGAAGGATTTAATTTGAATAAAGGATAAACTAAAGAAACACCTTCCCTAAAGATGGAGTGGCTTTTTCCTGGGGTTTCCTATGTAATTAGGGAATTGTTAACTAGAAACTAGAGCTTGCTCCTTGAGCTGCAGACCATTCTTCTGCACTTTGCCTAGGACAGCCTCGGGCAAAGCTGACATCTAATGCTTTCAGAGGAGCTGGCAAATTCAGAAACACCAAGGAGGGTCTTTTAATGACATCCTTGTTCCCTCATTTGCAAACCGCACTTGGAAGAACAGGCTAATGATTTTAGGAAAACACCAACTTAATCTATTTTGTAGCACAAAACCACAGAATCCTTAGAAAACACTCCTTTTTATTTCTCCAATCAATCTTATTTTACTAAGAATTCTAGATCGACCAAGAAATATTATTTAAATTGCGAGTCATTGAGAAATTTACTTACTGAGTATTGTATTTTAATCATATTCCATAGTATTTCGGTTTTGTTTTTCTTTCTTATTTCTTTGCCTTGGGGGCCAGATGTAACTCCCCAACAGTAATCTCATATGTTGCTTAAATGTGTCATTTCCAAAGATTTATTTTATACTTAAATAGATCAAATGTCATAAACCATTAAAACACACACACACACACACACACACACACACACACAGAGTCAGGAGAATAAATTAAACAACAACCAAAAAAATACAGTCTATTTCAGATTGGCCAAAGTGAATCTGGATTCAGTGATACAGAGGGTAATAAGCATTTTGACATGTTTGCGTAAACCAGGCAGATTCCCTCAACATGTTTTCCAATTTGGGTTCTATTTTTTTGTGCTCTGCCTGAGGACATTGACGTCTGGACAATCAATGACAGGGGCTTACACACACGTACCATCCAGCACAAGCCTGAGAGAGCTGCTGAAATGGTTTAAAAGTTTCTGTGTGGAATCTACCACAAAGTACCAGTTAAAAGAGCCAGGAGTGAAAGCTGAGCTCCCAACTGACTAAGACTAAAAAAGATAATACCCCCAGGCATCTGTATGTCTCAGCATTTAAATTATATCCCTTGAAATGCCAATTTGGACTTTGTGCCAAGAAGCAGTTGAAGCCTTTTTTCATGGAAATACCCAATAGAAGACCAATCTGTTTAAATGAAAGGTGTCTCTAATCATTTGGTATAAACATAGCATGTTTTTATTTTATTATGTAACCTTGAATTATCTTGGCCTGTAATGAGGATCTTGCATTGTTACTGATTCTCAATAATTCCATGGAATTATGTTGTCTAAATGTGTATTCTAATGCCGGGGAAAAAAAGAGAGAAGAAAAGAAAATCCTATCTAATTATTTAAATGTAATTGCTTGAACTAGCACATGTCCTGGTTTTGAAAAATTCTGTTATATGCCAAAGAAATAATCTTACCTATAAGGGGTTTTTCCTCCAAGTGCCATGTCCTCACCAGTACCTGGCATGATGAAAGTGCATCAGTAGATGTGTTATTGGACAGTCTCTCTATTTTTATTCTTTCCAAGTTCCATCCTGTGTCCTTCTCTTTGTAGGATTAGTGATTATATGGACCTGACCCCTGTAGACATTGTAGGGAAAAGATGCTACCACTTCATTCACGCAGAAGACGTGGAGGGCATCAGGCACAGCCACCTGGACTGTAAGTATCCCTGTGTGGGGGACGAACGGGGCTGGCATCATCTCTTTCTCTCTCTCTCTCTGATGCTTCTTTGGCTTCAGTGCTGATTTTTCCCCTTCATCTGTCCTGTATGCATTTGTGGTGACTGTCAGCATGCCGTGAGAAAAAGTGAGACATAAATCATTTCAACTTGTAGATTGAAAGGTGGACCACAGACCCTGAGAAATTGCTGGATCTTTAGATGCTCACCCAGAATGTTGTGGTCTCTTGTGCTCTGTCTCCCAGAAAGTGGTAGGGAACCCTCAGTCTTAAGTGTTTCCTTGACCCTTTCACTTTCTAGAGAGCAACTTCTGCTTGAAAATTTGTGTTCTCAGTTTTAAGCTGTACATGGAAGAAGACACGTTCAAATAGGCCAGATCCTCACAAAAATGTCTACTTGAGCAACCACAAGACTAGGTTGTGGTCAGGAAGTCCAATGAGCAGGGAAAAGAACACATTATTTGGTTACAGTAGCTCTCAACAGCGGTGCCTTTTCTGTGTATATCTGGATAGAGGCTATTTAGAGGAGCAGGTACATCCAGCCTCTGATTCCTGGAAAAAAAAGAAACTGATCTCCACCCTTTGAGTCTTGTCTCCGAGCTCCTGACCTTCAGGCTCAGTTACCAGGACCTTCTGTGGCACTCAAGCAAGCAAGACCAACAGGGTTCTGGTTGGATCCAAGCAATAATTCACATGTGTCATCATGACCTTTTCCCTCAAAGCCCCATGAGCTGTCTATTTATATTGTATGTGAATGGGGTCTGACAAAAGCCCTGATCTGGTGGACCACCAAGGAAGGAGGTTCCCCTTTCTCATCAGAGCTCCTTTTTATGACCATTCAACAGACTCTTCCTGAAAGACAAGAGCTCTAGCAGCTACATTCCTAAAAGATGCTAAACCCAGTTCTGAACTCTGATTTTAAGTACGTGCAAGGTGCACAAATGAAATGGCTTCAAGTTGGAGGTTTTATGTGGTAAACACCAGCCAAATATTTTTTTGTATTTGCCCCCTCTCCCCTTTCTTACTATGGTTGAGGAGAGCTATTTTGGATTCTTTCTGCCTTGACAATCATTTCGTCATTTCAAACTCAGATCTTCAAAGGCAAGATGGAGACAGCTCTCCAAAGCCTCAAAATGTGCCCCTTGTGCGGTGTTTTTAACCTTGAGTTAGCCACTCCAGTGTAGGAGCAAATTCAATTTACTGTATCTCTGGGCAGACTTGCCTGCAAGGCTGCTCTCTGGCACATTCCCCTTCCAACACTGAACCATGTGCCTTGATATTGCACACCAGGGATTTAGGGAACACACTTGTTGCTAAGAATGAATGGGTGCCGTGTATCACAGAAGCAGATGGCTCTTCAATTAATTGGGGAGGAAAATGATGTTGTTTCCTAAAAAGAAACAGCAAGTTCTTTGTTGCCTGGAATTCAGAGAAAATGGAGAAAACTCGGGATCTTTGAAGGAAGCTCTAGATACATTTTTGGAATGAGATAGGCCTGAGATTCAAACTTTAAAAATGAATATATTGCTCTTAGGATACTTTTGTAGACCATGTGTGTGAGGACCGGATGAATTTTCTCATTTGGGAATCTTAATTAAGGTCTAAATTCAGAAACCTGACACTGACAAAAAAGAACTTTGTCATCCTCTGTTATTATTTGGCAAACGTTATGCTATCTCTCTGGGATTTGATTTACAGCTTGAAGAAACACAATTCCTCAGGCACAGTGAGCTAGAGCAATTCATTTCTTCCCATACAGCAAAGATCTCCAACAAATATGTTTGATGCCATTCTTTCCCATCTACTTTTATCTCATTTTCAGTAGCTGGAATAATTTGAGAGTGATGAAAATAAACTACTCTACCATTCACTATTGTGCACTTCTCCTAATTTTTCTGGTATCTTGCCAACTAATAAACAGAGAAAGTATGCTTTCAAATTCTGTGATTTTTTTCATTACTTGATATTGACATACTGGCTATTGCTTTTTTATGATTTAGCCTGCTAACAATGATTGAGTTCACTCTTTTAACTCATACACATGACTTCTAATTTTGAGTTCTTTTAATAACCTTAAACACATGAAAAACAAATAGAATGAGCTGATAATTCTGCACAGTAAAATACACTTCACATATTTAGCTATCATGCTGTGGAATAACTCCACAATGTCAAGTAGCACACAATTAGTAAAGCTGTAGGGGGAGGAAAAGGAGTGTTTTGATCCTGAAGAATTTTGATCCTAATCAGATTGAAATTTCAACGTTCTTGTAGTGCTTAATATCTTCAATCACACACACACAAAAAAAATCAAACTGATTCCAATGTCAGGTTTTGCATTCTGTGACTGAAAGAAAATGCTAAAATATACAAATGCATCTCGCTTTGTACAATAAACATTAACATCATTATAAAGTAAGATTGAGTCTAAAATTGTGTGATGGAATGTCTGATGTTTACCTAATTCTCGAACCAAAGCCAGCCCAGTAACAAAATGACAGAGCATGTAATAAGTCTTGGTTGTGTAAACACTGGAAGAAACGGCAAAAAGCCAGCACAGCATCTTGCTTGTCCAAAGCCCTGGGCTATTACTAAAGGAGGCCTCCACTGTGTCTTGGTGGGAGAAGGTCATGGGGACATAGAATCAGTTCAAGAATAAGATAGAATTCTAAAACAAAGGGGTGGTTAAAAAATAAAACACATTAACTATTTAGCTTTTCTTCCTAGAGCTATTGGCACAATTCCTGGTTCTGTCCATGAAAGACAGATTTAAGACATCTGATAATACTTCTGATATTTGATAACTGTCTTAGACTCTGGTTTATGGATAAAACCTAAAGACAAAAGGCTCATTCATCTTTAGTAACTAAAAATATCATCTTTATCATGGTATCTTTTTTCCCAGCATAGGCATCTGTAAATCCATAAGTGAATTTGTTTCTAGAATAAGGAACACAAAGGGGAATCTCAGCAGCACCAGGATTTGACAACTCTGATAAACCCAACCAAGACTTGAGACCGTGTACTTCCCACTGGGTGAACACCAGACACCTGGTAGTTCACTGGATTTCAACATAAAGAATCACTAGAATCATGTTATTGATGCCAACATGGTGGGTTAGTGAAATTATTCTGGGATTCTAAAACCAAGAGAGTTTCAGGGCCCCTTCTTTCCCAATGTGACCAAAGACCTCTGTGATTTCTTTTCTTTAAGCCCAATTTCATTGATTCTTCAGGTCAAATTGACCAAATCAGCATTTCAAGGCTTGAATTTTAAACCACTCATATTAGTAATTATTTGGGCACCTTTCCCTCTCTATCACCTTTCTGATCTCCATCACTCAGAAAGTGCTGACCTGGAGATGAGCAGTCGTGACCCTAGAGTCACTTGCTCATTACCCAGAGCATCTGTGTCACCCTTGAATTATGAGAGGTTTCAGCACAACCATCTACCAATCTACCTCTCTCTGTAGCTGGAAAAATAGAAGGCTAAGCCAAACACAGACAGACACAGGCTCTGCATTTCTCTTTATTCCCATTTAATCCTGTCTTTTGTCTATACTAGGAGCTGAATCTGTCTTGACACATCCACAGGGTTCTTCCTGGGTCAAATCAGCAACAATTCTCTAAAACCTTAAAGAGTGGCCTGGAGTGTAAGGGGGGAGGGGGGGGAACTCTCTTTCTCCTTGTGACATTACACTCCAACAGCAAGACTCAAACCTCTGCAGCTGTGGGATTTCAGAGAAAAGTAGACACTAAGTATAGACGTGGTGGCAGCTTTCCCTTCCCAGCACCTTACTCAGGATAAGAAAACTCTGGAAGAATTATTCCAGAGAGAGAAAGCCTTTCAGATTGTCTAGGACACCAGGTGGAGATTTAAAAAAAAAAAAAAAGCATGACCACCCAATGTACTTGGAGGTGAGTGTTGAAAAAAAAAAAAAATACAGTAGTCTAAGTGTTTATTTCTTAATTACAAACTTCTATACTTCTTAACAAAACTAATACACAGCTACCTGGCATAATGCATTCCATGCTGTTTTGCATCAATAACCCCTACACTTGCCTCCTGAAGGCGTCTCATCGCCAAATGCAAGCAGACTGCTTAATGCAGGACTAATTAGTATATCCCCTTCCAGTCTGCGGGCCCTCCATTGTAATTCCTTCCCAGCTCATTTTTTTCCACAACCGAGCATCAATCAAAGTAAGTGCCCTGCCTGCCTAGGCAACACAAGATGTCCTCCATGCATTTGTCATCTGCCACACAAACAAAAGGGGAATTTAATTGTTGATTTGGGTATGCAGCCATTGCATGCAGCAAAGGAAGCTGCAAGTGAAGGAAGAAGAGTGAAGTTTGGTGGGTGGGCCAAATGCAGAGAGCACCCATGGGCTTTTTGCTATCGCCTGATCTTAGCCTTTCTTCAGGGCTGGTACAACTTCAGGGATTTCGCTGCAACCTGGGCATTGGCTGGACTTTTTCCCAAAGCAAATAATTTTTTTTTTCACTTCTTCCGTGTGAATATGAAAACTCCCACAGAAGGAAATGCATTTCATAGCCACCCTGTCTGCCTTTCTTCAGAAGCCAAGTCAGCCTTCATCATGGGCCTGTCCATTAATTGAAGAGACTGTCACTGGGAGCAAGATAAAGCCAGATTTTTATCCAGGAGTGAATTAGTATTATTATTTTATGTCTCCCCCTCAACTCCCTCCAGCTGCTGATTTGGGTTCTTCCCATCCATGGGCAGCAAGCACAGAGAAAAAAGACCAGCACAAGAGCCTAACCAACAGCTGAGTACCCGCTCTACACACTGGTCTGGAACAGTAGTATTGACATCACCCAGCAGCTTACAGAAATGCAGAATTTCAGGCCTGCCCCAGACTCACCGAATCCGAATATGCAGTTAACAAGATCCCCAGCCAACTTTTCAAAGCTTGAGAAATATTGACCATACTCTTGTATGTAGAAGGCATTGTTTTACAGAGTC